TCTTTAGTGAAATGAGTTTTGCTTTCATTTCATTCTTCTGATCCCTTATATCACGTTCGAGAAGAACCCATTCGGGAACAAAACCATTGTTTATTAGGATTTCATTCAATTTAACAGTAGTTGTATCTAAATAAGGATATTCCGGTCGATCCTTCAGAGGCTTCCCATAACCCGGAAGGTTATCAAACTCTCCCCGAGCTATGGACTCTTGGATTAAATCTTCAACCAAACGGTCGATTCCTTGTCTTACTTTGGCATCTCTTTGGAGTTTAGAGCTCTTTATAGAAATCAAGTCTTTTTCAGACAAATGATAATCTGATTTGATTTTATTCATCTGAAACTCATTGACGCGATCCGTGGCTTTCATGAGTCGATGCTTTTCGAAGAACTTCTGTCTCTCAGTCGGTGTCCCAAAGCCCACGCCATCCATCGACAGATACTGCCGGTGTTGAGCCACTCTATGCTTCTCCTTATTCTCCTCCTCTTCTTCCTCCTCCTCTTCCACTCTTTTCAAGTAATCCTTATTCTCATTGTCTTTAGTTCTGAGATATTCTTTGAGTAAATGATAGGCACTCTTAATGGCACCAAATTCTTCTCCATTCGTATCATCGTTTTGGTGGAGATTGAGGTCGGGATGAGTTCTTCGACAGCTCTCCAAATAGCCATTCCTTAGCTCTAATTCATTGAAATCGTAAGAAATCCTCAAAATATCACAACATTTCTGTCAAAATGTGTAATAAATATATTATTTAACAGAATATTCTGTATTAAGAGTCAGAGGTAACTACTTTTGACCAGTTTTTTGGGCTCACAGAATGACAATTCTTAAGATCAAGAGTGAGATCACCTCTGATTCAAATCAAACTTCAATTTACTTGAATTTCGACCAAAGAGTGACTCGTCTTCGAGTTATAGTTATATCGAAATGTTTGACCACTTCTTCGCCACCAATTGACCACAAAGTGTGCCAAAAGTGTTTTCTTGTGAAACATGTCTTGTAGTCAACTATTTTACATAATGTCTGCCAACAAACTGAATATTTGTTACAATTTAATGATTATAGTAAATGCTAAATGAAAGTGCAGTCGAAATAAGTAAGACATTTAAATTGTGAATAGCATTACATTTCTGTCTAACACACCAACACTGTAAACGCTATGAAAGGTATCCATTAGTATAGTTTGCATTCAACGCTATTATACCGTATTCTATGAGATAATGTTGGCGTTAATAATGCTATGCTATTGATGTGAATGTGTGCTAAATGTGTGAATTTCTTATGAAAATACAATTTTTTATTTCAAAATAAACATTGAATTGACTCATGCATGAAATGACCGCTTTTAGCACAACTACTGTCTGTTTAGCGCAACAAATCCAATGGCTTATGGTGTGAATGAAGACACTGGAAGTGATGCGAGTGATGGCAGTTGTGACGGCTTTTCACACGAAACGCTTGTTATCGGCTTTTATTG